AGAGAGAGAGAGAGAGAGAGAGAGAGAGAGAGAGAGAGAGAGAGAGAGAGAGAGAGAATAGCTTTGCACACCGCGTTTGTGATGACATCAAAAGAATTGTCCTCGTAAGGCAGCTTGGGATCTTTGTTCAGGTCTTGGACAATGTACTCAGTCAGAACCTGGCTGAAACCAATGGTATAAACAAGCAGTCACCAGCACAGTTAATAACTTGTGATTTAGACCAGGCAAACAAATAAAGGATAAACGACCTTTTCAACCCATCTCTTCTCAACATGCGTGGAACACACACGCACACGCACACACACACACACACATGCATTCATCAAATCTCAAGTGTAATTGGTTATTGCCCTGATTACAGATGACGTCAAACTGCAGAGTGCACTCTCTTTTTTCCTTCTTTTGCCTCGATGAACCCTGGGTCAGGTATTAAGCTGATCAGAACAACAGGTACGACACTTTATCGTCCTCAAAAGGGCAAGATCTTTTTGTCTGTAATTTCTTATTCTCCTCCTTTTCTTTTTTGGTCTCTTCTTCTTCTTCTTCTTCTTCTTCTTCTTCTTCTTCTTCTTCTTCTTCTTCTTCTTCTTCTTCAAAGCTGATCAGAATACACACTACAAGTAATCTTCACCAAGACACGGAGATCTTCTTTTATGTCTATCTTTCCCCCCTTCCCCCCTCCCCAAGCTGATCAGAACAGATGCTATACCTGATCCTCGCCAAACGCCGAAGAAAGGAATACCACATAGTCATTTGGGCCAGAAGACAGAAACTGACCTTAAACAGCCTAAAAGCATCTCTCACCACTTATGAAATCATGTCATCCTTTGTTGAGATAATCTGATTTATTTTGGGGGGGAGATGATAGCTGAATGTGTATAGCACAGTACATCAGCTCTTCAGTAGCATGCAAAGGGGTCATCATTGCTGTTCAAGTCAACAACCCAATGCTTATCAACAACCCATGATTAAACAATCATGGGTTTCAAGCATTAGCTGGGAGGAGGTGGGGGGTGGGAAGTGGGAGGTCGGGTGGTGGTGACTGCATCTGGGTTTGGTGGCTTCATGCTCATCTGGCGTCAGCAATGGGATGGATTCCGAAGGAGCCGAAGGGTTGCTGCCAATATCGCACAGCCATGGGAGCAACATCAAAACTTCACACGTTCGCAACAATCTATTAGCCATAGCTATGTGACTGTCCCTAATTCTTAACCAGATTCATGGCAATTCTCCCTTACGCACCGTATTCCGCCTCAGCTCTTCCTCGTTAAGCCCAACTGCTGCAATCCTTTCTTGTTTGTATCCAGCTGGGTAATGGCTAATCTGCACACGCCCACACCACCCACACACAGACTCCATTACACACACACACACACACACACACACACACACACATTAGGGGTTCAACCTCCTAATGAGTCGGTCAAAGGCTGATGAAATAGTCTGGCACAGTCATGTGTGTTTTTGTGGAGGTGTGTCTAGTGAACATGACAATACACACACACAACACACACACGAACACACGCTTTAGCATCCATGCAGATATGCTGATGTGATCCAAACAAACACAAAATGTCGGCGCATATGCACATGTGAGAGAACAGCGGGGGGGGAGGTATTTGTGCTTGCAAACCTTTTCTCGATTTATGCGTGTCATCCTTGCGCAGGGGCCATTTGCTAATTTACCCTTCTCTGTATCGTTCCAATTTTAACAGATGTCCTGAAGGACCAGTGCTTCCAAACCTTAGTTGGGCCCAGGAATGCAACGACTAATGAAATGACCGCAAGCTCCCTGGTTGCAAAGGTTACCACTCCACCAAATTCCCCTTAAAGTATGACCCCCCATCTCCACCGAACAAGACTCTAACCTTCTTCAACCCAGCCCGTGTGGCCGAATGGTACCCCCATGAGCTGTTGATACCCAAGTTCGTTTTTTTTTTTTTTTTTTTTGAAAAAAAACAGAACCATTTGGTTCTGGCTCCTACCATTCTGGGGAGCGACAGTCCGGTTCCTATTCCCCCGGCAAGTCAAATGTGGAGAACATGGATGACTCACGCACGCTCCTCCCCATTATGGCTGGGAGGTCCGAGTGGACGGCATTGATTACTTCCCTGAGGAAGGATGTACCACCCCTCACCTCTGCCTATTTTAGCCTGTGCTATTTGATCTGTCAGACTGTTGCCCGTCTGTCTAGACCCAGTCCTGCTCCTCTCAGCTGTGATGCTGTCGGGTTGTTGTGTTATGCTAGAGCGGTCTGGAATGTCGGCGAACCTCTTGAAATCTCTGATGTCCTAGGCCCTATAAGCCTTATTCCTTTCTAACCTTTAAAACTACAACCCTCATGCTAAAACCGTGAACCC